AATTTTTACTCTTATGACATACGGCGAGAGGAAACCGAAAGGATCGAAGATCCTAGCCGAGGCAAGTACGGAGCGCTTAGTGTTAAAATTTGTAGAAAGTATCTCCAAGAGATGATCAGCAGAGAACTTGAAGGCATCCGCCATTTTTATCCCACACCAATCCCAATATCTTGGTGACCTCGGGGTATTTAATTGGCTTATTCTCGGATGAATGATCGACGTTATCCGCTCTTTGATCAAAGAGTTTCTGGAGTTGAGAAGAATTGGTGTTCCACTTTTGCAGTTCCATGCCTGCCTCCCTCAGTAAAGTTAGTGCTCCGTCGGCGAGTCGCTGCACCTCCTTGATGTTCACTGCTCTAGTTAGCAGGTCGTCCACGTAAAAGGATCGGAGTAAAATAGTTGCGATGTCGTTGTTCGGCCCACTCACGTTTTGCAAGTGGTGCTGTATCGTAGGCCCGGGTAGGAAGGGACTGGCAGTTGTTCCAAAAGGAACCCTCGTCATGCACCACTCCTTCATGTTAGGCAGTGGCTCGTTGGGTTTGGGTGTATTTTCAAACCAAAGAAATCGGAAAGCGTCCCTGTCACGCTCCGAGATTACTATTGGTAAAAACGCCCTGTAGGTATGTCTGCTCCTTCTGCATTCGAAATTTAAGTAGGACGGGCAAAAGCTCCGTGTTGATCGTTGGACCTTTTTCAAGGTGAACATTGAGAGATCCGGTGTTTGCTGCAAGGGAAGATGCGTCGAATACTACTCTTAAGTCTAGTTGACTCCGAGTTAACTCGAATTACTGCTCGATGAGGCATGTAATAAACGTGCCTGTAGATTGATGCATTTTCTTCTATCTCTTTGGCGTGTCCATCTGTAAAGTAACTACGTATTGCTTTGTCATACTGGGTGATAGAGCCATCTTGTGTGAGACAGCGCACTAGACTTCGGAGTCTGGTGTTGGCAATCATGTAATTATCTCCAAGGGTTGTTTTTGTCTCCTTCCATGGCCCAATGCGACCTTGTACCGACCGTTCTTTTGTCTGATGTTTTCCTTGAATTGCTCAAACACCTTTTCTTCCTGTTGTTTCTTATCCATAGGTTCATCCACGATTCCAATGCTCTCTAGTTCCCCAAAATGTTTTAACGTTGCATCATCTTCTTCGTCAGCCCGTCCCACACTCAACACGCACACCATCAAGTTTGTGGTACTATTTGATAAGACACTCACTGTGTTCGTCGGACCCCGAAAGGTCCATCCCAAAGTCGTTGCGATGGCTACTAGCCCGGTGTTGGAAGATGAGCAGCGTGTCTCGTCGGTCAACAATTTCCACATCTGGTCCGCTCCAATTAGAAGGCTTATGCCCGCTTCCACTTGAGTCGATGGAGACATCAACTTGTCGGCGATGCCTCCTGGGATAGTCTTGAGAAATGTGTGCTCTACTGGAGTTTCTATGATGTTTTGGCAGATGAAAGGCACGACCACTGCTTCTAAGACATGATCTGTTGTCTTATATTGGCCCCTAATTCGGATTCTAACTACGGCGAACTTCTGCTTACACCTGTTCGAGTCACTGCAAGCAAAGGTGTCGAGTTGCATGATCCGTTCTCCGACAACCTTCAAATTAAGCTTCCTAGCCAAGTCTTCCCTGATAAAAGTTTTTTGGCTTTTATCAGCTTACATCCGCAGCATATATAATGCTGCGGATGTAAGCTCGGTTCAGGCTGGTTCTAACCCAGCTTCGGAACGTTTGTAATAGGACGGTCGAAGTCTGTTCTGTCGTGGTACTACCTGCGGTAAGAACGTTGGCAGTCTCCCGAACCGTTGATAAAGCCTCCCATGCAGGGTTACACATTGAGGTGACATGTCTTCCCCCGCATCCGGTACATCTCTGTTGACTTCGGCAATCTTTTGGTCGGTGACCTCGCTTCGTGCAACGAAAGCATCTCATGTTTTGCGCTAGCATTTTCTTTTTCTCATCTACCGCAAAAATACCGGGCAAGCGCCCACTTAAGATTTAGAGATAATCGCGAAAAAATGGGGGATGGGCGCTCGTCCAATCATCAATTTTACTTTTAAACGTAGTGTGCATACTTTCTCAGATCGTACAAATTTGGGAATGGGTGCTTAGTGTGGTATGGGCGGATGCGCGGCGTTCTATGGTACTGTGATATCCGATGGGCAATCACCGGTACAGTGAGTTCAGTAGTTGCAAAGAAGCAGTGTTGTCCGTTCTGCTAGTGTGCAACACCAACGTTGATGGTGGATTGGCGCCTTGCCTCCGATTATGAGCCACTGTTGGCACGGTTGTCGGCCTTCGCTCGAGTGCTGATGACTGTTCTCTGCTCTCTATCTCCACGCGCATAAAATGCAAGAGTCTCTCCAACTCCTCACCTGCATCTGTTGACAAAGGCGAGACGTTGTCTAACAGTTGTCCAGTGTCAGTCATTCCGGCTCTTTCTCTCCCATTGATTGGAACTCCAAGCTCTATCCCGTATCTTTTGAGTCTATGGTACTCGACCACTATATTGGTTGGGAGGTTGGACAGGAGTATGTCCACCATCGTAGTAGAGTACTATGTCGCACTCGAAACGCCTAGGGCACACATGCCACGAATGTTGGTCTGGACGTGGTCGTAAATATTCCGTAGTCCTTGTACATCTCGATCTGACTTCACCATTGGTAGGCTTCATGGTCTTTCGAGGTACTCGCGCTGAATGCGTTGCTTGTTCTCGAAGTATTCGGATAGTATTTCTATGGCGTCCTTGTAGCACTCTGCCATTGCTTGTAGCCCGGAAATAGCACTGGCGGCTGGCCTACTCAGCAGGGAGCGTAGATATTGGAATTTCCGTGAGTCTGGTGTTACGGTGAACGGCAGTTTGAAATTGCTCCCAGAAGGGCTGCCAGAGGGTAAGCTCACCTTGATACTGAAGTAGTTGTAGTTTAGGGAGTTTCATGCCCATGGCCTGGGGTATGACTCTGTCACCGTCGTCTCCCACATGGTAAATGGCTGGTGCTGCCGGTTGACGCTCGATTTTGTTGCGTACCTCGCTGAGGGCTCTTGCTACTTGATCTTCGTAGTCTGCCACAGCAACATAGTCCACTTCAAGGTTGGCATCGGTGATTAGCGGCTCAGTCTCTTCGTTGACCTTGCGAAGTTCCTCGTTGCCGGCGATAAGCCTGTCTCGTAGGTTCTTGAGGATGTTGATGTCAAGGGTTGCTGACTGGAGCGCAGTCGTGATATCGGTAATTATCTTCATGTTTTGGCTCCGTCGAACCCTACGCTTCGTAACGGGCTGTAGTTGAGCTTGTTGGTGCATAATACTCCGCTTCGTCTTCAGCCGATCCATCCTCACGTTGATTCCTCACGTCCAAAGGTCCCGGGTTTCTTGTACCATTAATTGTTGCACATTGAAGCGCTCTATTCGTCGACGGATGACTTTGCCGGTGACCTTGTGAGGTCGATTTGTGAAAGACAGGACAACTGACTTGGTTGGGAACCTTTTTTTTTTACTGACTCGGTGGCTCCCCTAGGGCGAGCCCCTGCCCTTTGATCTTCTTCTTTTTATATCGACAAAAGTCTTATATCAGTCTCTGTTTAGTTATAATTATTTTACAGAGCCCGCTTGGAACGTAGAAAATTAACCCTTTGCTGCTGCTCACAAACTTTTTTGGGAAAAGTGACCATGCTTTGACAGCAGGGTGAAAACAATTCAGAAGTGAGTATTGCTCCAAAATTAGGTGAAATGAAATTTTATGAAATGGCACCCTATGAAATGCCTGCGTATTCGATAAAACGGTGTTCAATGAAATGTCCGGTACCCATTCAAAGCTAATGGAAGATCGATATGAAAACATAATCTATAATTTAATTATGTGCAATTGCCGTGTCTTGCTATTTTCCTGTACTGCAGTTTGGCGATATTTGCCAGCTAAGTTATGTTTATATAATAAATTCAGATGCACTGACTTTATTTGAGGTTTCATTATCTTCATTACAATTTTTATAGCTTTCACGATGCAATTCTAAAAGTGTCGAACACCGGCTGTAAGAACAATGCCTTCGCTTTCACCAGGGCAGAGAGCTGTTCCATTTTTCCCAAGAAGCATGCAAGGCAGTGCACCAGGCATTCGTGAGTGCCTCATTTGAAAGGGTGTTCAGCACGGCGGACGATATCTTCACTTAGACTTTCGAGAGCTAGCTGTTGCTCAAGGTCACAAGTGTGACTGGTGGCAAAAAGAAACTCTTCCATAACTTGTTTTTGCGTCTTACCCTAGTACAGCAAGTTAGAAAGTAATGCCAATAAAGTAACATATTATTTTTTCTGGCAATGGTCACTTACTTTTATGGAAGGGTAATTGTAATTAGTTACAATTTAGCCAGGTGCAATGAAAATGCACTTCCTTACTTGTTTTTAGTAACTTGAACAAGTCTGAGTGTAGTTCCCCAAATGGTCACTGGCAGAGAGGGCAGCGGTGCAATAGAATCTAGCTCGGTGCTAGAGTATGTGCTGGAGCCAGTTCTCCAAGCAAGGCGTCTATGGGAATTCCCCAGCTGAGTTGTTCTAGTAATATTGCTTTCTGTGTAATTTGTTGAATGAAAGCTACAGCCCGACAAGCCAATCTTGGCATCAGAGTGAGGCAACTCAACAACATACTGTCGAAGTAAACTCCATCCGCAAATGGTGTTGCATGCTTCGCTCCTCCACTCCAATGGGCTTGCGGGTGCCCTGCATTTGCCCCATCAAGTTACGCTGAAACAAAGCATAGATGCACTCGCATGCTTTTCTTTCTGCCGTTTCAACCAATGACAGTGCTTTTTCAGCTACCCTGCCAACATGTAGTACATGCCCCACCTTGTTGAGGTTGCCCAGTGGATCAGCATGCATCCTTCATATTCTTTTCCACACAAAGCTGAAGTACTTTTTTTTTTTTCTTTCCATTTAATTCACTGGGGAGCTGCTAGGTTAGTTTCACATGAAGAGCATGGCGAGACCAAAAAAGGCACGGGGCTAGGTTTTCAGCATGGGCGAGCTGAATTCCACATTTATTATCTAAAGTCCCTTGAAACTCAAAACAAGTCGAGGGGCTTTTTATCTACATAGCCGCCCCCTCTATCGGTGCAGAGGAATTTCGTTCAGACGGGTGCTGGAGGGGGATACTCGCACAAAGGTTCCGAGACATTCACACTCCTGGCATTCACGAACAATAGAGAACATTTAGGTGTCTCCGCCGGGACGACGTGACAGAGCCGGAGGAATCGGCGACGTTTAGACGCCGTCCGAGGTGTCGCTGGCCGTCGACCGTTCCATCTGAGCCGTGATGCGCTCCAGCTCGGTTACCTTGGTGTTGGCGTAGTGGTAGAACATCATTTTGATCCCGCTGGCGATGGACATCTTCATGCGGATGTTGTAGCGGAAGGCGTACTTGTTGTTTTGCTCGGCTCGCCTGTAGAGTCGCTTCAGGTCGCGGATCTGTTGGTCAAGGAACACAATCTGCCGGTACGTCGCGTCTAGTTTCTCCTGGATAACGGCGGCGCGCCCCTCCAGCGTCTCGGGCTCTGCGGGCTCCGCGAGTTCATCGGTCACCTCCGCATCGACGGCCTCTTCTTTGTCGACGGCGTCGGCGGGGACCGAATCCGCCGAAGCAGTCGCCATATTGTTTTTTCATACGAGCGCCGACAGCGCCGCCAGTACCTGTCAGCGACCCTTGTAACAGGCGGCAGCTTGTGCCATCTAGCAGCACCTAGCATCAAATTTTCATCGACGATTTTGTTACTGCTTACTGTTTTCGGAGTTTATGGTTAAAACCGCTGAAATTTGCTCTACTGTACATAATATAATCACATGAAATTGTCTCATTTACCCTAAACCTTTATTTATGTCTTCAAAGATTTTTAGTTTAAACGTATAAAACAAGTTTAGATGGCGCAGCAGTCCGCCCTGATACTTTTGACCACTTCAACGTTTATCCACCTATTTGTATGTACACTTCATACCCTATCTATGGGCTTCACACGCCCACCCTCTCCTCCTTCATCCTCTTCCGCCACCTTCGAAGCCCGCGCGGCCCGCGGATAATGATCGTCCCAGGATAGGCAGCAAAATTTACCTCTACTCGGCCGTTTCACCCAAGCCCGGAAGAACGTCGTCATGTGCGGCCGAATGGCATGGTTTGTAATGCTTTCTACTTCAGTTGTTAAGAAATCTTTTCGGTCAAATGTCGTGGCACAGCTCCAAGCAGGTTTTGGTTTCACTGCCCGTTCGAACGGGCGCTGTTTTGATTTGAAAATCAATTTAGGGACTGCAGGGTTCGAGAGAGCCACGGCATGAACGCAGAAACCATGTTAGATCAATCAATCAATCTTTATTTTCACGAAATAGAAGAACACGGGAAGCGTGCGCGGCTGGCAGAAAGATTACAAACCCGTACGCTGGGGCGCCTGCCAGCCAACTTTCCGCGAGTTAATAAGGAGACACAAAACAAAACACGACACACAACAGTTTGACGTTTTAGACGCAGACGAGCAAATAATACAGGAAGGACAAAAAAAGACCATTGGACTCGCAAAATAAGGGCGGCCCGCAAACTCGCGCAGAGTGCGCAGCATTACGCTGGAGGCGGAATCGCAACACTAAAGTGATTTAACTGAACTGAATGTAAGTTGATGATAAATAAAGCTAGTAAGCAGGCAGCTGGTTTAGGTTGCACATCGTTAAGACCGGAGACGACGAAAAGGATGGGGACAGGACACACGTCTCAAACTCGGCTTACGACTTTTATTGAAAACATGGCTTAAAACACGTCTTCTCCCGTACCCACATCCGGACAACTGCGCACGTCCCATTGCTGACCGCAAACAAGCTGCTGAATATTTAGCTTTACCAAAACCCCGTGACTGCGGATAAAAACGACAGACGCACTAAAAGGTCTCAAACACAGTTCATTCTTTTTTCTTGGCTTGAAAAATTTGTAGATGTTATAAACTAGCATTTCTCGAGTAGTATGTACATTTTGACCTCGCAAATACCGCCAAACCTTCACTCTGGTAAAATGCTGTTCCAGGGTCAATGTATGAATGGTGTCAGTGTGATTTTAAGAGGTTTAAAGGCACTAGGTTCAAAGGAGTCACAACGAATGGGCTTTAAGAGATCATCATAAGAACATAAAAGATGTCACGACAACCACCTCTTCTCTTACCTCTAAAACTCCTGCTAAATGAACGCTACAACCTCATCCTACACCAGAACAGCTTTGTTCAGTAACACAAACACAAAAGACCATGGCACTCAATCGATCAATAAATCTTTATTTGCAAAAGAAAGTAGAACACAAGAAGCTTGCACGGCTGCCAGAAAGGTCATGAAACCCGTATGCTAAAGTGCCTGCAAGCCAACTCCCCATGAGCGAATTAATGAGTAAGTAGACACAAAACAAACAAACAAACAACAATTCATTGTTTTAGACACAGATGAACAAAGAAGACATGAAGGACAAAGTACGGCCCTGAGACTAGCGAGTTAAGGCTGGCCCAAACATTCACGCCGAATGCGCTGTGCCACACAGTGCAACGCAACGCTGCGCATTTGGCGCGAATGTGTGAACCAGCCTTTAAGGTTCCCAATCGAGCGACTCTAGAGTGTACGGAGGGTGCGCATCACGCTCCGACTGAAGTTGCAGAGGTCGTCACCAGAGCCGGGCAAGGGTGGGCACACGTTTCCCGGCAAGGACAAGTATGCACTCATTGCTGAAGGGAAAAGGGAGGCCTTATGTCACCGGGTGCGAACACGGACAGGGAGAGGAAGGCCTATTCGGCTGAAGATGCGCGACACCGAGGCTAAGTATGAGCTGACTAAAGGCGACAACGAGGAGGCGGACTTGCGCCAATCGACCGCAGCCGCTCCTCATAGTCCAGTGACTGGTCCTGACCGACCAGCATACGAGTCGCATGGCGCCGAACCCCCTTTAAGCCTTTTCATGTGTTGCATTTGGTGGGGGCTCCAGATAAAGGAGCAGTATTACAGTTGAGGAAGTGCTAGGGCACTGTACAGAGTCTTGAGGGTATGCCGTCCAAAATGCTGAGAGAATCTTTACACAAAGCCCAGTAAACTGTGAGCCTTACCAATGACCCTAGCCACATGATGACCAAAATTGAGAGTTGGCGTGAAAGAAATGCCTAGAATTTTTAGCACCTGTACGGGTGGAACAAGAAAGCCTCCAAGGAAGTGGTGTGGAAGATCATTGTTCCTAGCTGAGCTAAACTGCATCACAGTGCACTTGCCGTGACCGAGACTATTATTACTCGTGGACCAGAGAGCCACCTTGTCCAGGTGAGTCTGCAGGATGGCAATGTCGACGGCAGAGTGAACACCCATAGCCAGCGTAGTGTCATCTGCATATTGGACTGTAAGGACCCTATCTGACTGGGGAATATCCTGGACATGCAGGTTGAGGAACCCTCGAAAGAACAATGAAAGTGTGAAACGCCGAGCCCCCGTATGTCACCCTAAAACTGCGACCGGTTAGGAAGGCAGTAACGCAGTGCAATAGGCCACTGCCCACCCCACAGGCGAACAGCTTCCTGGTGATACAGGCGTGATCCAGGGTGTTGAAGGGGTTGCGGAAGTCCAACTGGACAATGTCGGTGGGGACAAGACCATCTATGTTGTCGGTTATGTAATGGGGGACGGTGGCCAGGGCAGTCTCACAGGAGCAGAAGTACCAGAACCCGTGCTGCGACGAAGGCAGTAGCTGGACACGATCCCGGTGAGAGAGTAGGTGATTGTTGACCATACATTCTAGGATACGGTACAGAATTGAAGTAACTGACATTGGGCAGTAGCTGGTTAGGTTGCTGGGTGACTTGCCTTTTCCCTTGAAAAACCTGAGTGACTAGGGCCTGCTACCAGCTATCAGGAAAGACAGTTGTCCAGAAGAGACTGATAAATGGCGAGAAGGGACAGGGGAATGTGAGGTTGGATCATCTTGAGTAGGATGGGAGGAATACCGTCAGGAACAGCTGAGCAGGATGGTTTGATACAACAAAGGGCCTCCTTCAGGTCACGGGGTGAGTGAAATACACGGGACACCATCAGGGTTGGGAAGCAAACCAACCCCGACTCCGTGGTCACAAAGTAAAACGGGGGCAGAGGTAGGGCCGGGAACGGAAGCAAACTGGCTCCCAAACATGTTGGCAATCTCCCCAGGGAGGGTGACAACCTTCATTTGATGTGAAAGATGGGTTGTATTGAATAGTTTGCTGACTGACATAACACCAAAAATCTCTTGGTTCCTTACGTGCACATAGAGCAATACACTTGGCAAATGCAACCTCGTCAGCATGCAGGGCAGCTTTAAGGGAATGCTGAAGTTCCTTAGCCCACGCGAGTGTCTCAGTGAACTGCAGACTGTTCAGTGCTCTTGAAAAGAGCTCTCTTTTGACAAGCAACATGAATGTGATCCTTAGTGATCCTAGGGGCACGAGCACGTCCCCTTCGGCTAGAAATGCGGGGCGTACACTCCAACTTAATGGCATGTGCCAAATCACACCAGAGGTCCATGTTAGCTAAACAGTTGTCGCCCATTGTGGTCATGCACCATGGGGGCAAGGTGAGCGAGTTAGTTCATGTGATCTTGGTCTGTCTGGTGGAACTTCCATATGGCACAAGCGAAGTGACCTCTGCGGAATAGACCCAGAGCGCAAGTGAACTCAATGGCCAGGTGGTCACTCCCAGACAAACCAGAGTAGACATTGCATAAAATACTGGGATGGGCGTGACACAAATACAAGGTCGAGGAAACTGTAGTTTGGGATGTAGGTGGGAGAGCGGAAGATCTGGGAAAGCCCTGATATTGACACCAGGCGCAATAGAGTGTTGCCAGCTGTGCCAAAGGGGGCGGCAGCGTCGGAACTCCACCACTCGATGTGGCTGTTAAAGTCTCCAAACAGAAACACCTCCCTATAGGACTTTGTAAACGCCTTCGTGATGGACGCATCAAGTAGCTCGTAGGCAATAATCCGGGTGGATGGTGGACAGTAGGCACAGTCGAGGAGAGCGCTACCCTTCGGGTGATGAAGCTCCAGAAAAATCGCTCCTAACTTTGGGTGCTCGAGGTTGTCCCATCTGACTGCCGGGAGACCGAGCGGCACGGCATTGAGCACGCCACCACCGTGAGATGGACGATCACGCTAGTGAACTGTGACGAGTGCCTGGCCGAAGAGCTCGGCGTCGCGAACACCGTCGTCTAACCGTATCTCTCTGAGAAGAAACCCAGTACTATCGGGAAGAGCCGTTGAGGCAAGTTTGAGATCGGTCAGTTTGTTCTTCACACTATGGCAATTGGTGTATCAAAACGTAACGGACTTGCTGAAGCAGTTGCTCGCAGTGGGGTTACGAGCGCCAGTGGGTCGTTGCCGAGTGTCCTCCAGGGTGCACTGGGGTGTCCCATACTGGGGTGGCGAGATGTCATCATCAGCTTCGGGCAAAGAAGAGAGCACCTTGTCGAACTGCGGCAACTGACATACGCCGATATGACCTGAGTGACAGGAGCTTGCACTTACGGTGATGCCACCTGTCACATAGGTGGTGCTGTAATGCTGCCACGGTACCGTAGACACCCTTTGAGCAGCGGGCACAGGTGGGGGGGGGGGGGTGCCAGGATTTCGTGCAACGTCCCCAGCAAGCAGAAGGAGCCAACAGCATCTAACCGCCTTGTAGGTCTTGCCACCGAACCGGTGTGGGTGGGAGGTTGTAATTGAAGAGCAAAATGGGCGTCCAGAGCAGTTTGGTACGCTGTTGTTCCATTGATCAGGTGCCTGGAGAGTTCATAATGGACGCCGTTGAGAAAGAATGTGCGAGAACGATATCTGTGAGACTCAGTCAGAGCAGGAACAACAAACGCCTTACACGTTCTGCCATTGCCATAGTTCCCCTATTACTTCAACAAATAACCTTCAAGGTCACCCCCATTCAAACCCCAAGAAACTGTCGTAGTCAGAGCCTATACAAAATGGAGGGTTGTTAACATTCCTCTGTTTTAGTTTTATTTATGATTCTTTTATTAAGTGCTTGTGATAATTTTTTTTCTTACAGTTCTATCGAAGTTAAACCTTACAGCAGTATATGATTGACCTTCCGCTAAATTACCCAAGCATCAAAGAAAATGTCGGTAACGTAGGTACACGCACTGTACATGCTCGCCTTCCCAATATGGAGAGCAATTCATCTGCTCTTGCACGGGAGTTATGGTGACATCAGAACAATGCCAAGTTCTGATTGGCTTTGAGTTGAAAGATAGTGGGTAGACCTCAATGCTAGATGCCTTGAGGTCTACTCACTGTTTTTTTTCATTCTGCCAATGAAAGCTTGATGTTAACTTTATCCCAACCCCTGTGCAAAAAGCAGACGAACTTGCACTCCGCAGAGTAAAGATTCGAAGTAAATAACAAAAAAAAACGCCCGTAGAACACGCGTGCGAAGGGCTATTTGTTTTAGATTTTTGCTTTCAAACAGATAGAGCCGAAGAAGCCAGAACGCGCAGCGCGTGTACCTACGTTTCGGCATTCTTTTTGACGCTTGGGTAATTATACAAAAGGTCTATTGTTATGTTCAGCTACATGTTTATACATTTCTGAATATTGGTCCTTATTTTTTATACAAAGTTTGTGTTCTGATAAGCGGTCGGTTATACTTCTAGTTTGCCCAATATAACACAGGCCACAATCAAAGGGTATCTTGTACACAATTCCAGACACACACGCTCCATATCTTCTTCTTTGTGTCTCTTCACACAACCTGTATTTGTTGAAGCAAAGGTCATATGGCTCAGCCTATGATCTATGCAAAAGGAAGCGCAAACATTAAACCTGTTGGCTAGTGCTCTGATGCTGTGGGACATTCTGTGAAAATAATAAAGGACTACTCCCTTCCTAGGTCTAGTCCTTTTTTCAACTTTAGGTACCTTTTAATGCGAAAGAATTAACTTTCCCATGAAGCGAGCCGACGTCATCAGTTTGAAGCGCGAAAACGGCACCTAGTTTCCCTGATCCCAAAAGTCCCATTGGCTGGCGTGCGGCGACGAGGCTCCCATTGGTCGCTGCGTGCGTCAGTTTCAACGACCGCCGCCAGATGGCGCTGTGTGTCCGTGCCACCAGGGCGCTGATAAAACTAACCACCACAACCCCATGCCACTACGGGCCCCGTGCCGGTTAAAACGGACATGTTGGCGCGTGCTCGGAGGCTTCTGCTCGTCTCGCCGCCAACCAACATGGTGTAGTCTCCATCATCCATATCGTCAGCGGTGCTTCTTATCGTTTCGCCGCCTCTAGCATCCAGATCGTCGCCGGTGCTTCTGCTCGTCTCAACGCTGATGAACATGGCGCCGCCTCTAGCCTCCACATCGTCAGAGGGGCTTCTATGTTTTCGCATTCACAACTCTTAAGAAGTGCTTAGTGTACCTTAAGCTTTTTTGTGGGGGACACCAGATGATATACTCCCCAGGATAACTTGCAGTTCTGAATCGCTGTACAAGAGGATTAAGAGATGAACTAATTGAATGAAAACAGGACTTTTGAACTTCTACATTGACAAGATTCCGAATTATTCCCACATTTGCATGCTTTGAGTGGAAGCTATTAAAATGAAGAGGAAGTTTCGGTGCATTCTTTCTATCCTTGCAGCAAAGGCCTGGATTAGTTTGAAGAAATGCGGGTTGTGTGAAGAATCACAAGGAAAGAGATGTGTAGTGTGTCAGGAATTGTGTAGAAGGTGCCCTTTGATTGTGGCCTGTGTTATATCGGGCAGACTATACATTGTATAAGAGATAAGGACCATTACTCAGATGTATAAACATGTAGCTGAATGTAACAGTTGTGTACCCTGTTTGTATGCAAGCAATTCCTTGTGTGTTTTACGATTCTTACAGTGTTTGATGCCTTTGGAATTCGATGCTATAAAGGGACAACCTCTACAAATCTGGAGATTTAGTTTGTTACTTTAATAATGCTAATACACTTTTTTTTCCATTAGGTTATTCGTTACAGCTTCAAGAATGAAAACATGCCCATAGGGGCCTGTTCCTATATTTCTAGGGTACTTAAATAATTACAATATACTACTTAAAAAAAAAAAAAAAAAATGTTTCAGCGTTTTTTTACAATGCATATTTGTTTGCAAGTCCGGTTTCAGGGTGCTGCCATCTTGCTCGGTTGGGGTGTGCTTGGACGCGTCATGATCTCATTACAAAGCCTTGCAAAGGCGTCGTAATTGGACTATGGCCGAGCTCAAGCGCACCCCACTGAGGAAGATGGTGGTGCCTGAGACAGGATTTGCAAACGTGTATAAATGAACCGCATGTGACATGATGCTGGTACTTCTCTACAACATACCTCCTGTGGTAGAGGTTGGATGCACAAGTCTCATTTACATAGGAACCTTACAGACATAACTAAAATGCAAAGCAGGGCATCTCCAGCGTTCGTATCATCCAAAATATTTTTCAAAACTTCTATGGTTATAGCGGTTTATCATATTTACTTCATGCTCATTCAAAAGCCAAACTGCTGTAGGTGATGTTTTAAAGAAGGGCACTTATTAAAACGTTTTTGTGGCTCCTAAGGATTTTCATTGCATTCTTGGGGCTTTTTCTACCAAAAACCCACTGAAGTATATTGCCGGATAAGTCTTGAGACCACTATGCCTTAGCAGCTTCAGTCATACACTTGAGCTCTGAACATCATGAATCATTCTGTTACAACTGCTGTTGAGGGGGCATGAAATTTTTTTTTTCTGCAGTGTTGTCAAGGCCAGTGTAGTTTTCAAAGGGCCGCTGCACTATCACATCTTGTGTCTAGTCCTCACGCACACTCGTGCAAAGGGGAAGCCATGGACTCGTGCAAGTAGCTTTGACAGCAGCCGAGCAATGCGAAAATTTATTCTAGCCTTGGCATTGTTTCTCAGAAAAGTTGACGTCGAGTGTAAATACCCCTTCGAATAAATCCTTGGCATTCATAACCTATGAAATGTGCATTCGTTTTTTCTCTACCCACTAGCAGTTGTAGAAAAAATTGGACGAAAACCAAGAGCTTTCACCCCTTCAACTTCCATCATACTGATGTGCTGGGGTTGGCAATGCACAAGGCACATGCTGCGCCTCGGGCATTGTTAGAGTTTGGCTTTTCACGTCATCGCAGCTCTTGTCAGGACTAGCACAGTAGGCATTCTGAAACATGTCACCATTCAAATAGTTTTCACGGCCAAATCAAGAAAGTTGAGTGTGGTTCATTCAGACCTAATTAATTGTGCAAAACCATGCAGGTTTTCTAATAAATCTGACAAGAAGGTACCAGCAAGGAGTAAGTTGCCTTCCCCCCCTTTGCACAAATGGGTTGAATTGCTTTCTTTCTGTTTGCATGCCAACCCCAGTGCCCTGAACAAGGGCTGCCTGCAACATGCCTGCCAGTACCAAGACGCCACCGGCCAGTACCGGTGTCCGAAGTGGGTCGACCTCAACAGCCAGGGCAAATATAAGCCCTCCTACAACATTTCTCCACGGACGTACCAGTGAGTGCCCTGCTGATATCCCGGGAAGTAGCTTGTATTCGAAAGACCAGCTTTCCCTTTAATTTTTTCTTTAGAGTAAGTGCAGGAAAATAGCCCACCCTTGGAAATTGTGCCACTTGCATTGGGAAATTCTTTTTATTGCTTCATTGATAGGAGCTTCAACAGCAGTTAATTAGGTAATTTTAAATTTGGTAAAAATCACAATTTTGAAATATCTACAGTTCAGAGTACCTCCCCCAGAAAACATGATTGCTAAATTCCTTCTCTAGCTATTTCAGTGATGTGATTGCTGCGCCAATTGCGCCAAACTGCGCCAAGGGGCTAACCCTGCTACATCCTGCTACATTTTGCCAAAATATGGGTAATCTGTGCCAAGGCTGTGCCAAAGACCGATTTTGGTTGCCTTTCAAAACTGAAACTATACTGAGTACCGTAATTAAGCACTCGTGAGCTAGGTGGCGCAAGCGGCCGCCCGACACGAAGTACCTTGCATCAATCGTTCATCCGGTACCCCCCCCCCCCCCCCCTTGCGTGGTTTTTCCCGCCGTCTCTCGTTTTGCGCTCTCATTGTCTCGCGTCTTTAAAAAAAAACAAAGTTCAACGATAGGCGCAGGCGTGTGCAGACGCTCCGACGATAGCCTTCTGGGTACGACTAGCCATGCCGTCAAGCTGCGAAACAAAACCACGTTTTTGTGCGGCGGGAGTTACTTTGTGAATTCAAGCACTCGCTCCTCAAACCAACGGCCATGGGAAAACTATATTTGGTCCCTGCCTGCCAGTCACCGTGGTCGCACGACGTCGGGTGTTGCCATCGCCACGTCGCTGCAGATATTTCGCTTTCTAAACTGAAACGTAAGGACCGCTGCATGTTCATCAACATTCCTGTTCTTGTTTAATACGCTACTACAAAAATCCCTCTAGCTCAAAGACTGCTGTGTCGAAGAATTGATTGCCTAGGTTTCTCTCGGAAGGCCTTCTTTTGAGAGGGACCCCGGTACGTGAAAAATCTGCCGCGAAATAAAGTTGGTTAAGAGAAGTGAGCTAAAGCAAGAAAGGCAATGTCTGCACGCTGAAACCCACACAGTGTGCTTTTTTGTCTGCGAGATACGTTAATAAATTAGGAAAAGTTTTTAAGAACCCTCATCTCCCCCCTGAAGTCACGTGTTACCATTTTTCTGATGTGCAATGGTTTCGCGCAGTCGGCTGCAAGACTTTTCTACAAATTTTGTGTCATCTATTAGTGGCATTCCAAAACTAGACGAGGGCACTGAGGCTGGCTATACTCTCAGCCACCATTTGTATGTTGAGAGCGTTTCAAACACTTGCGTTGCAGCTGTTCTGAGCCGCTCCGAAGATGCCTTTTCATTACTTCACGTCACGCCACTCAGTACGCAGACAGGAATGAATGATAATTACAAAGACAAGGCGACTTATCAGGTTTCCAGTCTAAACAGTGCAATCCTTGAAAAGCAAGATGTGCACGCGAACTGCACATGCACACAGGGAATGTGCCACTTGGGAGGGTGAATGTATGTTTTGTTGTTGTACATAGCCTATTAGTGCTGGACTAAGTATAACCCACCAGTGCCTGTAGCCTGCATACTAAGTATGACCCGGCACCACCGGTCGACGGCTGATTAAGAATGCTAATTATAAGTTGCCTCCGATGGTCGCCTACAGACTGAGTATGCTGCGCGAATTATCAATCTACACGGAAAGACGCATGCTACTACAGGCGACCGTTGGCATCAAGTCATCCTAGTTCAGTTACTTGTGCTATCGTTCCTCTCCTACTTGCGACACCAAGTAAAGATGTCAGACTGGAGATTTCATGGTCCTGGTTCGATTCCCGCTGAGCACCTTGGCGAATCCCTCTAGTTTCGATTGTTTGTTCCTAGTTATGGTCATCTATGAGTTATGACTAATTATGCCTTCTATATGCTTTAAATGCTTATACTCTGCCTGCTATAGGCTATGCATTCTTCAGGTTGCCTTGACGTGCGAGTAACACTTTTTCATCATGCTCATGCATTACACTTTTCTGTGAAATCCAGCCCATAAACACATTCTGTGTTAAAATTGATCACGCGAATACATCGCTTCGTCATAGAGAGTACATACCGAACCACTTCCAAACGTAAAATGATGTGTCTACTTAATATTCTCGAAATTCATATTTAGCGAAATCCATGAAATTCTGTGGCCGCACAAGTAAAGTTGTTCACAGTACAACAAATATTGAGGTCTCTGAGCCTTTATTCTGTGTTCTTATTGAAGAAAAGAATGTGTGACGGTAACCCAAAATAATACACATGTTAAAGTAGCAGAATGTGGCACAGCATCAGCTTAATCGTTTCTGGCTGAGGTTGGCATGACGATAGAGTTTTAGTGGATTGTCCCGATGACTCCGATAACGATACCCAATACTCTGCCGAAGCTGTAGCACATGCATCATATCACTATTGGAGGTACCTGAGGCATCTACTGAAACTCTTACGTTCGACCCTTTTTTAAAAGAAGCAAATGCTGAAATTGAAGATGATTCACTAAGTGCCATTACCATGAAAGCTCTGCTGTGCCTCTCAGAGACACAGAGGTGTCCTCTCAGAACCGCTTGTAGTGTCGTTTGTGTGTTGCCGAGGGAGACGACCAGGTAACGAACCAAAACTTAAAACTTTATTTTACGTCGTAAGCCTCGTGCGTCCGATCTCCGACGCGCCGCCATGCATTCTCCCCGTCTGTCACCCCCTCGCCTTTGGGGCTCTTCTAACGCATGCCGGACAGCGGGGATGTGGCGCCATCTGGTTCTTGGACACCACATTTCCTCTCTTGCCTTTTAAAAAAAAAAACCTTCTCAGCGAAAGCCCACTGCGTAATCCTTTAACTGGGGTGGTCTCGTGTTCCTTGTTGATCGGACCGGCAGTCGTCTCTCTGGAGCTTGAGGGGTTGCTTCAAGCGGACCAATGGAGTCGCCAGGAGCGTTCGTGTCAGCGTGTCGATCATCTTGATCTGTGGGCATATGGTCTCTAATTGGATTGTCAAAGTCATCGTCAGTTGCAACTTCAGAAGTCTTCTCGATCTTTTTGAAGAATGACGAGTTTCGAATCGTTCTCTTGCCACCTCTTTGTGCAGTTATAGCTGTCCCTTGCACACGAGTAATCGTATAAGGGTCTGAGTCATATTGGGACTCAAGTGTTAGAGTCACGGGCCGTTTTAGTAGCACGAGATCTCCATTTTGAAGGTTATGAGGCACAGCGTGGCGTTTCCGGTCGGCATACAGCTTCATCTGTTCCTTCTTGAGCTGATCTCTTTCTCTCACTTGGCCATCATTCGTTGTGGCGGTGACTTCAGGGAGTTTCGTTTTCATTTTCCGCCCGTAGAGTAGTTCTGCTGGAGAGAGACCTGTCGTCCCCTGTGGCGTCGCCCTGTAGTTCAACAGGTACTTTTGCAGTTCAGGTTCCCACTTTTTCCCCTCAACTGTCGCTGCCTTGACAGTCTTCTTGATGTTTTTGATGAACCTTTCCGCTTCCCCGTTAGCCTGTGGCCACAGTGGTGTCACCCTATGGTGTTTTATTCCGTTTTCGGCCATGAAATTGGCAAAGTCTTGACTGAAGAACGGCAGTCCATTGTCAGTCTTGATGCTCAGCGGCAGGCCGTGGACGGAAAACATTTCTTGCATTTTTGACATTACTCCTTCAGTGTTCAGAGATGGCAGCGTCGTCACCAGAGGAAACCGTGAGTATTCATCCACTACGACCAGGAGATACTTTCCTCCTTGAAAGGGACCTGCAAAGTCTGCTGCCAACGCCTGCCAAGGACCAGCAGGAAGATCCGTCATTTTGGGTGGTGGTGGCTTCTCTTTCGACACTGTGCTCTGACAGGCTCGGCAGTTCTTCACCACAGATTCTACTTTCTTATCCCACCCAGGGAACCAGTTTTTCTCTCGAATGAGCTGCTTAGTCTTCACGACATCTTGGTGTCCTCTGTGAGCGATTTCTATCGCTTTCAGATGTAGAGCCTCTGGGAGTATTAGTCTCGTGCCTCTCAGGATGACATCGTTGTCAGTGACAGTGAGCTCTTGACAGATGTGAACGAAAGGCCTTAGCATCTCTTCTCCCCACATCTTGTCTGACGCCTTTTTATCCTCTTCTAGGATGGCGTTCTTCAGTTTCTGCATTAGTGGGTCTTCATCATAGGCCTTCTCCACCTCTTCCATTGTCATCGCTTTTGGCACAGCCGTGGTGCACACGTAGCAAACATATTCTCGAGTGGCTCTGCTTTCTTTGGACTCCAAGTCAGAGTCTCGGACGTGTCTTGACAAGTAGTTCGTGGGGTTGTCCTTTCCAGGGGTGTGTTTCACCTTGTAGCTGTACTGCTGCAGTCTCAGATTCAGTCGTTCCAACCTGGCTGACAGTTTCGCACTTGGATTCTGGAGGATGGAGGCTAGGGGCTTGTGGTCTGTCTTGATTGTGAAGACTCCTCCCGCTAGGTACACCCTGAAATGTTCCACTGCTGATACTATTGCCAACATCTCTTTGTCGATCTGGGGATATCGTTGTTCTGTCGGCGTGAGTGCTCGGCTGTAGTAGGCCAAAATGCTGAGCTTACCCTTTCTTGATTCTTGAGTAAGCATGGCACCCAGTCCAGTTGGACCGGCATCTGTGATGAGATGTGTCTCTTTGGTGTCGTCATAGTAGTCGAGCGAATGGCTGGCAGCCATTTCCATCTTGATCTTGTCTAGAGCCTCTTGGTGCTCTTTGGTCCATTTGAAGACGTTCTTGGCATGAGTCAGTGCTCGAAGAGGTTCGGCCATTTGCGCTAGTCTTGGAATGAACCTGCTGCTGTAGTTTACCATACCCAATAGGCTTCGGACCTCAAATGGATTGCTCAGCGGGGCCATCCGAATGACTGCTTCTACCTTGGCTGGGTCCACAGTGATGCCCGATGCTGAAAACGCATGTCCAAAGAACTTTAGAGTGCTTGCACCGATCACACACTTCTTGCCATTGAGGGTCAGTCCCGCATCCTGGAGGGCCTTTAGAATCAGGCGAAGTCTGTTGTCGTGTTCTTCTACTGTTCGCCCCAACACCAAAATGTCATCACTGATGTTGATTATGCCCTCTTCATCAGGAAGAACTTGTCGCATGACGTCTTGAAAGATTTCTGCAGCAGAGTTTACTTCGAAGGGAAGTCTCTTGTATCTTCTGAGTCCTTTGTGTGTTGAGAACGTGGTTATCTGCCTTGATGATTCATTGAGCTCCAACTGATGGTAGCCCTCATTCAGGTCAAGTTTTGTGAAGTACTTGGCTCCATTCAGGATACCAATGACATCTTCGACCGTAGGCATGATATGCCTCTCTCGTTCTATTGCAACGTTGGGCTCTCTCATGTCCACGCACATCCTCACCGCTTGGGGGTTGTTCTGCTTTGGTACTACGACTGGCTCAATAATGTCCAGTTCTTCTAGTCTCTTTAGCTCGTCTTCAACTCCTTTTCGCATCTTGAACGGAATTCTTCTGTGTGGGCGAGCGACTGGTTTGTCATCTTCCTTTATCTGGAGCTTGACCTGGAAATTCTGTAGTTTTCCCAATCCAGCGGAGAGGCTGGGGAACTCCTTGACAAGATCAACTTGGGACTTTTCTTCAATGCTATTGAGCACTTGAATGAGACCCAAACTTGTTGCTGTCTGGTAACTCAGAAGGGATGCATGATGTCCCTTGATGACGTGGACACTCGTGTGGGTGGTGGTCTTTCGAGCTTTCATCTTGGCTTTGAACACCCCAACCACTGGAAGAGGTTGCTTCATTCCGTAGGGCACTAGGCGGATGTCGGTCTTTTCCAAAGGTGCTTTAAGCTTGTCCCTCCAAGTTGTTTCTCCCATTACGTCAACTCCAGCTCCTGAGTCCACATAGACTTCGATCTTGACTCCTTCCGTTTCTACAGTCACGCTGGGGATCTTGGACTGTTTCTGCTGCACGTAGTACAGTTCTTCGGAAATGTCTTCGCTCCGAGTTGGTTCCAGTTCTTGAACCGTTCTGACTTGCTCTTGTTTGCGCGATCTGCACATCTTGGCAAAGTGGTTTTTCTTGTTCCAGTTGTGGCAAGTTGACCCCCATGCTGGACACTTCTCCTTGCCTCCGTCGTGTGGCCAACCTCTCCCGCAACACGTGCATGTCTTCGTCTGGGGGACTTCTTTTTTCAGAGTTTTCCGGGGCCACGGTTTCTTCTTTGGTGTATCCTGTTCACCGGCACCAACACTTTTCTCTCTATGTCGGCGGCTTGTCTCTCGGCGTTTTCGAAGCTGCGCCCTTCGAGCAATAGCTGCTCCAGTTTCATGTCCGGTTCACGGAGCGCGTTTCTTCTCAGTTTCGTCGACGCAGTGCCTTCTGTAATCTGTGACAGGACTTCTCCGTCCACGTCGGCGAACTCGCACGTTAGGGCTAGTTGCCGCAGATGCACATGAAACTGGTTGATAGTCTCTGCCGGCTCTTGCTTCGCTTGCCGAAACAGATATCTCTCGAAAACTGCGTTCTTCTTTGGCACGAAGTGAGCTTTCAGTTTCTCAACCGCGGTCTCGTAAAGAGTGCCCGTGTTCGGGAGCGTGATGAAAATGTCGTGAACGGCTTCTCCCGCGAGGTGCAGCGACAGTGCACGCTTTCTTTCGTAGTTCGTGACGTGGGAGGTGATGAGATAATTCTCGAATCTTGCATGCCATTGCATTCAGCGCTGAGACACAGAAGTTGGATCAGCATGCGGATCGAACGGAGGAATGCTCGGGACGCGAAGGTCCATGGTTTTAGGGCAGCTTCTTTGTTCAGCTCTCGACCGGCGTGATCTTGCTCTCGGGTCTCTTTTGGCGTCTTCTATAGACGTTCTGTCGAGCTGGATCTTCTTGCGGTCTTCCCCGGCATCCCATTCTCGTCGCCAGACTTGTAGTGTCGTTTGTGTGTTGCCGAGGGAGACGACCAGGTAACGAACCAAAACTTAAAACTTTTATTTGCGTAGTAAGCCTCGCGCGTCTGATCTCAGACGCACCGCCATGCATTCTCCTTGTCCATCACCTCACCATTGAGCGGTGTGTCTGATCTCAGACACACCGCTCAATAAGCGAAAAAATGTCTTACAAAGACATTAGTTGTCGTCATCGTTGGTGACACATCTGCACTCTTGAACATACCCCGTGCCACTAAAACTTCGCTTGGTACATAATAAAAATAATAAGAGTACACAATCAGCAACTCAACGCTGCTGGCCCGATAAAAAAAGAAAAGACTGTCTAGCCTGGAGCTGACATTGCGGGGGAGTTACATGCTCGCTGGACCAATCAGCATCTTCCCTTTTATCACCTGACATCGCTCTCTGTGCATTCACATCAATGAGGTAGAGGGCCTTAGAGCGATAAACTGGCAGCTGAAAGTGACCCCCAATTGGCCGCCGCCATGTTGCACATTTTTGGCCTCTAAACACGTGACCTTGTAGTTTTACGTCTACATTTTAGCAAAGTACCGCGCACAAATGATGGCTTATTGATCTTTAATAATAGTTCCGACGAGATAAGTAATGTTTTATTTGTTTTAAGTTCAAAATATGCTTTTACGATAACAACTCGGGCAGCTTTGCAATGCCTCCGCTAGATGCCGTCAGCTGTGGTGCTGTATTTTGGGTTTTTATCAAAGCTAGACGCTGATCTCTTGGGCTAACAGTATTGAAAAAATAGTATATTATGTTTTTTACAGCAATCGCAATACAAATCTCAACTTAGTATTGCTTAAGTGCCTCAGGATTTGGTACAGTCACGTGTCTAGTGCTCAAAATTGTACAACATGGCAGCAGCCAAGGGGGGTCACTTTTGCCTGGTGAATGGGATACCAGTTTATCGCTCTAAGCCCTCAACCTTGTTGATTCACGTAGACCTTTGCATCCCTTATCACCCGAATGAAAGAATGAGATGTTTACAATTCTCTGTAATGCAAAATTAAAGCACAGCTCTTGAGTAGGAGAAGGGGAGGGTACAGAGGGGAGGGTATACCCCTCCGTACCCTCCCCTCCTTATCTCCTCCTCACCTCCCATTTAGCAAAAATTTTACCGCTTAATTTAGTGGGAAATTTTGCAAAAATTTCACCACCAAATTTAGCGGGCGAATTTTCCCGCTGAATTTAGTGGGTTAAGTTTCCCGCAAAATTTAGCGGGGAGACTGTGACGTCCCATAATGCAACGCGCATGGTTACGCCAACACCGCTGAGCCCAAAAAACGGGCGCCTAAGAGCTGTGCTCTAAAATGCTGAGTCACTGAGCTGTGGACACATGCGTCTGATATACCGCAGAGCAGAGGAACAGCGCATGCTTAGAAGGCGTTCCACAGCCCAGCAGACAAAGATGGCAGCGTGCAAAAGGCGAATTTCGCAAAGGTCTGTAGGCGGGAGCGTAATCACATGGCTAAGGATAAATGTAGGACTGGTCCAACAAGCCTGTCACTTCCACCGTGCTGTCAGCCTAGGGATGATTGGAGCGTGGTCCTTCCCGAGAAGAAACTTGTGAGCTTGTCACAGAATAGCCGAAAGAGCAATCCACAAAAAAAAGAAAAAAAGATGGAGCAGTGTCATTGGCCAAGCCAAGCAATAGCTATCGCTTGTGTGACTAATCCCAGCTGTTAAAGGGACACTGACAGGGTATTTATGCTCGCCAAGGTTTTTATTTGTACATGACATATGAGAGCCCAACTACCCAAAACACAATTTACGGCTTAAAATTTGTTTTCTTTTCGCCCGAAAACCACCGATCGAGAGCTGGCCGTTTTGAGTCGCGCTCACACTCTTTTCCGCGGTCACGAGCCATTTTCTATCATTTAGACACAACCACCAAAGTCAGTCAGAGTCGTGGATCATCGAAGGCACACACTCAATACTAAAAATAGAGTGAAAATAAGGCACCCATTTTTTCTGGCTTCTAAAATGTTGCAAATACGTTAATTAAAAAAAAAAAAAACTGCACAGCCATGTGACTTCTGGTAATTTTCTCCTCCTCTATATTTCTTCTTCCTCCCCAATTCAGTTTCGGTTTCGAGCAGCTGTGTTTTTTTACTTTATTAAAAATATATGTGACACTGTGGCAAAATATTGATTGGGTAGTCTTCTGACACAATAATGAATCGCCTGGCCAAACATAAAAAACAAATTTTGGGGGGTGTCAGTGTCCCTTTAAGGTTTGGGGGTTATAAGCCACTTAGACGCTTAGCATGTGAGAAGGACGTAGAGAAGTGAAAAGAAAGTAGAGAGTTTTAGTAGATCGTTCCCATGACTCCGATAACGATACCTGACACTCCGCCACCGCCCCCCTTGCGCTTGCATAGTATCGTTATCGGGGCTATCGGGGGTATCGGAACGATCTACTGAAACTCTCTAATGAGAGGAGGAGACAAGTGCCCTGATGCCCTGATGGGGAGAAAAGTATGCTCCGAGAAGCTCAGGGAGGGGAGGAAAGGAGAGGGGACATCAGAACGCCGAGCTCTAGTTGGAATGATTAGTGGATAGACCTAAAGCTTGCTGTCTTTCTCTCCACTGCGCTCGTGGAACACCAGCGTCCTACCTTCGGGTTTCGCATTCAAACTTGTTCAATGAGTGCAGTGGAGACAAATGCAGCAGCTAGCTACAGGTCTACCCACATATTACCAGTGCTAAGGTTGTCTGTCTGCAAAGATAAATACTAGTACGGCTCACCCACGTGGCTCTGGATCTTCTCAGATGATGAGATACAGCCTGGCACAGACGATTGCAATGCTCTGCTAAACTCCGTCTTTGTGTTCCTTCTGTGGTTTGTGCAGCCCGGTTCTGCTCAACAGCTGCCTGGCCCCCGGTGATAAGAGGGTCAAGAAGGAGAAGGGGGTGGACGAAGGTGTCATCATGACCTCCATGCGCTGGGGCCTGGTCCCCTCGTGGCACACCAGCGACCCCCGCAACTTCCTCTTCAACACGGTCAACTGCCGGGTGGAGGAGTGTATGGAGCGCCGCAGTTTCAAGGGAGCCATCGCCGCCGGGCGGCGCTGCGTAGTGCCCGCAGAGGGGTCTGTGTTCCGCCGTCCTTGCAACGTGTCTTATCGGGTTTTTTCATTTCTAGGTCATACGAGACATCATCAGGATATTAAATGCTTAGCATTTATAGGGCCAGCTTTTAGGGTTTTTATGTCTGCGGATGTAGCCTCAAAGATTTTTAGTGTCACCGTTACGTCATCATAAAAGATGCTCTAAATGTGTAGCATTTCTAGGTCTTCTGTGATGTACTGTGATACTGCAGTGTCATGTGATGTCTCGTGAAACTGTTGGTCTTACGTATTCGTAAAACCATCAAAATGTGCCCTTCAGTGGCCTCCTTAACTCTCCGTACCATGCCCGTCAAAATAGTTCACCCACGAGTGACGATTTGCAGGCCCCATTGCAAAGCCTCCGATGTGTGTCTGGACAAGTTATGACATCTGGTGGTTAGATTAGACTAGTTTCGGTTTCTGTATAATTTCAAAGGACTTTATAATGAAGTCGTGGCGACTGGTGAAATTTTTCGTTGTACAGATAACTTCTTTGGAGTAGTTAAGTGTGAAAAATCGATCACACGAAACCGAATTTGTGCTCTTGCATCGGGCGATGGCTTTGCGCTGCCACAGGTCATTCGTAGGAGGCTCTTGAAGTGGCTGCGCTGTTCTCAATTGCATGTATAGTCACTACATGGTGTAAGAGTGGGCGCGGCAGCATACAGCCGCACATGGCTGTACGGCAGAATTGACCATGCACTCGGCAAGCGACAGCAAGGATGGGGAGAAGCACAAAACTGAGCTGACAGCTCTTTTTCAGATCTTTCCAGCACAGGAAGGGGGTTGCGTTTCTTTCTGTGCGGCTCTACTGATTTCGTTTAGATTTTGGCGTCACTGGTAGAGTCACAGATCATTTCCTCAATAGACCTGTTGCAAAACGTACAGTGCCACGACAGCAGAATTTTGGGAGTTCTCGGTACAGATCATGCGCTTTCTCGTTGCGCCTCCGCGACTGCGTGCGCATCCCAGCAGCTGCCGTTAGCAGCCATCTGCCATCCCGCCCATCCGCCGAGTCGTACGTCGTTGGCAGCGTAAAGGCATCGTGACCGGTGAACTTATTTGAATACAGTCTAGTCCACTTATAACAATATCCAAGTGCCAAGAAAATGCCATCGTTATAACCGATAATTGTTATAAACGGGTTGAGAAAAAAAAGACAAGAGAGAGATCAAAACATTTTATTTGCAGGCAAGTAAGGTAGTGCAAGTGCAACTACTTGTTTGCAGAAAAGCCATAGTCTGTCAGCTTTGATTGCTTCACGCGAAGCTGACGCACATCTTTTTCTAGGGCATCTAGGCGCTCCACGTAGCTTAGCGGGAGGTCCTTCGCGAAAACAAAGTTCCGGAGGGATTGTATCATCCACTGTTCCTCCTGCGATGACAGTACCTGGGTAGGCTCCTCAACCGCGTCGTCGGTCTCACCGCTGTCCGCAGCACGTACACGCGCGACGATCGCCTCATCACTGAGGCACTCGGACGTTTCCACAACATCGTCTGCATGAAGGAAGTCGTCCAGACCCGATCTTGCGTAGAATGCGCTGCAGGCGGATCGGCCATGACGCCCCGTCGGAGAAAGATAGTCAATGCAGCGAGCACACAACAGGCGAGCGAGCGAGCGAGGTGGCGCGACCGGGCACGCGGACGAGGCCAAAGCGGCGGCTCCGTGAGGGGAGTTCGGAAGGAAAGCTGCTCCTCCTCTCGCTTCCTTCCTAGTAAGCGGCGCAGTCGACTCGTTTTCTGAGGGGTGGAAGGGATGCGTGGCGCGGAGCGCAGCATGCCGCGGAGAGCCGGCGGCTGGCATTTTTGGCGCACGCTGTAACCGGAATCAATCGCTATATCCGATATCGCAGCCCTGGAGCATCGTAATAAGCGGTTTATTTTACCATTGAAAGCATATAAAAGTGGACGGTGCCATCGTTGTTCATCGTTATAACCGATATATTGTTATAAACTGTATCGTTATAAGTGGACTCGACTGTACGTTATTCGTCGTAACTTACCTTCATGTATTGAAGTGTCACCGAATCCACTTATTATGCATTGCAACCGTGGCAGGTTTCGACCAGGCTCGACAAAGCGTTGGTGCAGCAGACGACAGAGCCGGTACAAAGGAGAGGGATGAGAAAGGGGCAGCCGTTGGCTCGTCGCTCGTCCGACTCGGCTCCTCAAACATTGTTGCCGTGGTAACCTGCGCCTGCTCGCATATGCCGCGTGATAGTGGGAGGAGAGATGTTGGGAGGGGTGTACCGAGGACTCCCATTATTCGTTGCGCGGCGCATGCGGGCTTTTGGGATTTTCGCAAAGGGTCTATTGCATAATATCGCTCCAAGGCAGAACAATTTGGGTGTCCGATGGAGCAATATTGGGAATCTTGGATCCTGACGAAGATCGTCGCATCGGTCTAACAAATACTGAGACAGCATAAAAAAAGTTGCGACTGCCGATGAAAGTACTTTTTTTTTTGTATACTCTCGTTTGCCGCTGACGTACACACAAAACAAGAAAACGAGTGCAGGCATTGGCCGGACGGAACGTTGAAAAAACACTTATCTTGAAGTAAAGTGGTGCATAATCAATGGCACAAACGAAACAAAAGTACACACTAGCGGGCACGGTGACACGCTGTGGGGGCGGCGGCGCCACCTTTGACTCGTTACGATTCCTGAGACGCATCTCAAAATGGTGTGTTCAGCTTCCTAGTCCTCCCATGCATCGATAGTGGTCCTGAAGTGGCAACGAATGATGTCGCAGAAACCGGAGTGTCATGCTGTCGGATGTCGCTATCCTGGCGGCTGGTCGTGAAAGTTACAGCAAAAAGCACGAGCAAACGGGTGTGTCGCTTTTGTCACGGCATCCCAACTCCTGCCTGCTGAAGTTTCCATTGTCTGTTAAGCTGGAAGGCAACCCACAGCAGGACGGGCGTCTGCCACATCTACCTCCACTGCTGTGATGCCGCCAGCATCGTGGCCAGCGACAGCGTGACGCTTTTATGACGTCGTCAGTCGGACATGGAGGGAACACATTTTTGGATGCGGTAAACACGCCGGTCGGAGACGCGCTCCAGGCACCATAGCCGCGCTGCTTCCGCTACTGCCATGCTGCGAGTTCTTGGTTTTTGGTCCGACTAACTTGTTAGTAGGGATACTGTGTGTCTAGACGGCGTGGCAACATAGTCACATGGCGCCATCTAGGCACAAAGTTGTACACTAACAAATTTTTGATACCCAAAGCCGAGAAAGTGCGACACGGCAGTATTTCTCTTCATGCGCGTCACTTGAGAATGACAATTTATAGAAAATCAATTACTTTTTACCCAGAAAATTCATAATACCGGACATTTTTACTTCATGGGGCGATGAAATTGATTTGTTAAGGGGGGACACTGGCTAGAGCTCAAACTTTTTAACTACTCAAGTGATTGGAATGAAATTTGCAGGGGAGATTTAGCTTCAGATGTAGGTGTACCGTGCTAACTTTCAGCTCTCTAGGACAAATTTACATACCTTCATAACATGATGTGTCGCTTTTCATTAAGAAATCTATGATATGCAAATCAAGCTATTAAGCATCATTTTGACTGCTTGAATATAAAGTGGGGGATATGGGACCTTGGGCTATCTAGTTTTAATAACTTAAATGTAAATATTTCAGGAAGAGTTATTACCTCAAACTATGAGATGCATATCTGTCCTCTGTCAATTTTTGAAAACTTGGTTTTTTATCACTGAGGACTTCAACCTAAAACAAAATAAAGTAGATAGCCCGATTCCTGAGTAAATTTCAGTTCAGAAACATCTTGATTGTGGTATCAGAATACTTTCACCTTCGAACAAAAGATTCCTTCATATGAAATTTGCAGCAAAAAGTGGAACTGAGAAAAATGCATTCAAACATTGAACTCCTTTACTTTGTTACTGCCTCACAATGTGTTGAAAATATTTTATATCAACGTAACTATTTGGCATATGGTTATCAAATTTGGTGTAAGGGTGTATAATTAGTTTCTAAAACTGAAAACCTCAAAATTAAAAAATGAATGTTTCCAAAAAAATTTAAAATTTAGGCCCATGTCCCTCCTTAAACAGGAATTTGTTGTAGTCAGAGAAACACATAAGAGATTGGCTGGGACTTTATTTTCTTTAGTTAGTATTGGCATTCGTTATATACACTCCGTGCGGCCGTTACCGAAGGTAGGCAGTGCCCAGCGAAACGAAACCACACTGTATACATTGGTAGGCATTGAATTCGTAGCGGTGCGGTTGTGCTGGGTTGACAGCATGACCTTCTGCATCGTTAAGTGCTTCAATAGTTATGAGTTGTATCTCGGGGGGGATAAAGGTTCCCAGTTTTTCAACTCGCTGATGTTTTGTGGGACAGCGACAACAATGGACCTGTGCCGCACGATGCGAGAAATTTGGTCTCCCGATCATGCCTGCCACTGTGTCGGCACTTCTGACATATTCTACACCGCCGTGTTGGGCTCTGCGTTTGTTTTCGTACCAGTAACGCACACATATGTTAGAGTCGATGGGACGATCTGAAATGTCATCCCACACTCGCGGGTATGCAGTGCCAATTTCGCTGGAGGAATGCCCTCCAAAGAAGTTTCGTCCCCATCGTATGTGTCTTTGATATTTCCGGACCAGTATGGCATGCAGTCTAAACTTCATGAAGGAAGATTCGGACCGTATACAAAAAGGGACAAATATGAATCTAAGGAAAATTACAATGAAACTCGGAATCACTGGAGAATCGACGTTTGAGTGTGGAAGTTTATGTAGTGTGCTTTCTTTTTTTGATCAGTGTCCTTTTGGATGTGGAAATGCCGACATCCCAAGTCCTGTAGGCGACAATTTTTTTTTCTCTCGGCTTTGGTGTTATTTATTGTAAAGTTGTTTTGAAATAGAAGTACCTGTCCACTGGTCCCTTCCTACCTGTAAAGTGTGCACATCTCAAGATGAGTGGTATTCTCTTGACAGC